TTTTGAAATTTTTTGTGCAAGCTAGTCTAACTGCGATCTTTATGTGGGCAAAGTTTCATGTCAAAATTCGAAAATATGGCTCTGCTGGAAAAGTAGGGTTCTATAGAGAAAATTCACTAAAACCTCGATATCTCGCTAGGAATAAGCCATGGGTCCGAACTCCTTTTACGGTAAACATAATTTACTAAGATCTACAAGATGCGCGAAGTCCCGACTCAAAGGCTCTCCGACACCTGGGGATGTTCCCTCGTAAGATGAATGGAATGAAAAATAAGCATCTTTTGATTTACTTCTAAATCATGCATTTGAAGTAGTATTATTGCATTGAGAATTTTGTCAATAGACTAAAACATTTGAATTGAGAGTTTTGTTTATATATAATTTCATGATTTAAAAAAGTTTAATGATATATTTCATTTTTGAAATATTATTATGCAAAATAGAAAGGTACAACGAATATGAATTTCGACTTAGAATAAACTGCAATCTAAGATGAGTTCAAATAATGTATTATTTACCAAAAATAAAAGCCATTTATTCCAATCACATCTATACTACTTCATAATTGTATAAGGAGATATTTTGAATAGTCAATAAAAATATCAAATAAATAAATTGAAATACATGCTATATAATCTTTAGTTTACTTAATAATTTATTAATAGATTTTACATGAAAAATATGTCTATATAATTCTTCATCAAGCACGTGTTATACTTAAAACATTACCAAATGTTAATCATATTAATTTATCTAATTTACATCATATATTTATTATTGGTGATCTTCATGGACAATTACCTGATTTATTACATATATTTAATGTGGTAGATTAATATTTTTATAAGAAAATATATTTCTTTGTTTTTTTTTGCTATTCGAATTATCTATTTCAAGAATGGACTACCTGCAACTGATAATCCATATATATTCAATGGAGATTTTGTTGATCGAGGTTCAAATTCAATTGAAATTATTCTTTTAGTTCTGATTGCTTTTATTCTTTGTCCAAGTTCAGTATTTCTTAATCGAGGTAAATTTTTTTCCATATATATTTTTTGATTTTGTATTTAAAAAAAATACTAAAAAGGTAACCATGAAGATATAATGATTACAGCTCGATATGGTTTTCAAGAAGAAATCAATAATAAATATCCAGTTCGTTTATAATTTAAAGAAAAAAAAAATACATTAATCTAATGATAATATATTTAGAAATGTAAAACACAATTAATTGATCTTTTCAAAGATTTATTTAGTTGGCTACCAATTTATTCATGTATTGATACAGGAATATCTAATATTATGATAGTACATGGAGGAATATCTAATCGAATTAATTTAAAACAAATAAATTCTCTTGCAAGAAATCGATGTAAGATTAAAATAAAAATAAAATCAAGATTTTTATGTTTATTTATCAATTTTGTTATAGATATTTCAATTATTATACCACCAAAATCAAAAAATATCGATGAACGTTTAACTAAAGATGAACAAGATGAATATCTTCAAATGGCAGGTATAATTAATAGAAATATATTATTTCATATATTTTGATATTAAATATAATTAGATTTATTGTGGAGTGATCCAGATCCTCAGAATCGTTCTGGTTGTCGAAATAATGATGATAGATATATGGGTTGTTTTTTTGGTTCAAATATAACAGAAGAATTTCTTAATAAAAATCATTTTTCAATGATTATACGTTCACATCAAGTCAAAGAAAAAGGTTATGACTTTGATCATAATAGAAAAGTTTTAACTGTTTTCAGTGCATCGAATTATTGTGAAGGATCCAATTGTGGTGCTTTTGCACGATGGTTAGGAATTATGATAAATATTTTTGTTTTCATTTTTTGAATACGAAGTTTATTTTAGGGATTATATGACAGATGAACCACAGATTACTTCATATACATTAGAAGATATCAATTCAAGTGAAAAATTAAGTTTTAATAAACAGTAAAATAATTAAAATAGATCTACATATATATTTTGTTTTTTGTTTATTTCATTTAAAGAGTAACATTATTCGAAGATCCAGTTTATCAAACATTAATGAAAAAAATTGTAGCAAAGAAAAGTTTACTTAAAAAAGAATTTGAAAAATCGGATAAAAATCGAACTAGTATTAAATTTTTTGATAAAATTTATTGAAAATATAATTTTATTTGTCTATGTAGATCATTTATCTCCGACAATTTGGTCTGATATAATGAAAAATGTTCTTCAAATTGATTTACCTTGGCTTACGTTACGTTCAAAATTTGTAAAAGAAGATGCACAATGAGTTCTATATAATACAACGATTGAAAACTATGCTTTAGATAATGCAAAATTTCAAAAAGTATGCCAACAAAAAGGAAAACTAGAAATCAATATTATACTCTTATCATTCTAGTCTCATGTTGGCATTATGGAAGATCTCTATATGTGGAAAGATACACTTATGGCATTATTTAATTTAATTGATGCTGATCATTCAGGTAAGATTTGGTTTATTTTGAAAAAAAAAATCCATCTATTATGCATATATTATAGGTTTTATAAGTCGTAATGAATTTTCTGATGTTCTTAAACTTTTATTTTATGGTGAAAATGATAGTAATAATGTAAATCAAGCACATATTGAAGAAGTCATTTCTGCAATGGATTTTGATAAAGATGGAAAAATTGATGTTAATGAATTTCTTGGTAAGATTTGGAAAAAAGATTAATACTTTTGTAGACTGAAATGAAAAACTTGTCAAACGAATTCTTCTATTATTCTATATATATATGAATTCTTTTTGTATTCTAGAGAGTTTTCGTATTGTCAATGTGAAGAAACAAGAAAATGTGCATGATAAACCAAAAAGAAAACCCAGACGGTGGTAAACATGTGTTAAACTAAAATAAATTGAAAACTAATGAAACTATATTCAAGAATAAATATCTTGGTTTTTTTTATGCAATATATGAAAAAATAATTTTATGCACAGTTATTCATTACTCAAATATGAAGAGAAGAATCTCTTTCTTTTTTTTGTTACTTATATATATATATAAGCATTATTTTTCTCCATAGTATCGTTTGAACAAAAATTGCAAAACCTGAGAAAGTCAGTGCATAGTTTTTGAACTGAATCAAGTTCAGCCAATTAAAAGCTCTCTAGTTACATACAATTATAAAAGTCAACATGAAGTGAAAAATCATGAATTTATTGATAGATAATAGGGTATGAGTGAGTCAAAGTTTATTAATATTTAAACATATTCATATCTATCGATAGTTTAACTAAAATATTTTTTAGTATATAATTTGAGATTTCTCTCAATGAATGTGAAACTAATTATCTTAAAAAATTCTATTGGAATTTTTTACGTTCTCATCTCAGAAGTACGACATGAATTTCTAATTCGGGACAAAGATTGGTGAAAAATACCTATTGCAAAGAAATCATAGAAATATCTTTCATATTCATGTTCTAATTTTCATGAACTCATAAGAAGCATGATATGAGACTATTAAATGATAGAAAGATACTGAGCTTTAGAGTAATTCATATTCTACTTATTCTATTGAAATAAAGTGAATCTTGTTGTTTTCTTTTTTATTTAAAATTTTAATTTTGAACGTTTTTATCGATCAATAATTTTCAACTGACATGAAACAATGGACCACTGTGAATTGCACTGTAATGAATCATCCTAATCTGAAACCGTTTTGCATTGATTCTGATCATTTAACGAAACTTGAAATTCTCAAAGAATCTTTTTTCTTCTTTATAGAGCAATTTCTCGACACAGGCTTTATACATGTTGAAAGAAAACACACATTTTCTTTATAGGATAGTTAGTTTTTTTAGAAAAAACTGAACAAAATAATTTTTAACTATAAAAATTCAAAGTTTTATTAGAAAAAAATCGAGTTTTAAGTTTTTTCGTAGTCTTCAATATTTTGACAATAACAGAAATATTTTTCAATCAAATTCAAAACATTCCTTGGCCAAAATGATCAACAAAAAAAGCTCTGCAAAATCTGACAGAATGAAAAATTGTATAGTTTTAATACACGACAAAAAGCAAAAATTTTCTGTGAAATTTTTTAAGTATACTGTAGGTTCAGCAGCTATTGATAGTACATGATTATTTATTGGTTATACGTCTATTGTATATGATTTTGCCTGTTGAATGAATATTGAGAGTCGACATTGAAAAAAGGACTCTCATGAGAAAAAGCTTTATAGATTCAGAGAGTATAACCAGTCTTTTAACACATACGTAGTAATGTAGACGAAAAACAAAGAGAAAGTAGAGAATCAAAGTAGATAATAATGAAGTGACAAGAAAATGTAACTCTAAGAAGTAATAGAAATACGTCCGTCCTTTGATTGCTCATTGGCTCATGTTGCGATTCATTAACGTATGATAGTTAGATATAGCAATACGAGCAAGGTAATAATATTAAATAGAATTAATTTGTCTACTGTTACGAAAGCATTTCATCGAAAAAGTGACTAGCATTACTGAAAAGTTCATGAACTTCAGAAATGTAAATAGCTGAATTGAAACCACTATTTTTCTCAACTTCTTGCGGCCTGCTAAATACTGCGTTGTAGCTTGAGATGATGTTGAATCTGAATATTAAGCTTGTGTGCACAAAAATACATCAGTCAGATTTCGATCTGAGCGAAAACAGAAATCAACAGTTCAGATGCAGAATCCATTGTGTCGTGGGACATATAATACTTTGGAATTGGGCAAAGTATACTAGATGAGATAGAAAT